GAAATTTGTATATATTCAGGTATGTAGTACAAAGGAAATATGAACATGTTTTTTTTTATATTGAGTATGAAACTATCTGATTCAAACTAGAGACTACCAGAATCCATGCGCTTTTGAATTTTGTTTATTTTCAGTTCTGTGACATTTTGGGTTGATTTAGCAAACTTGACTTTTGTTTCATGTTTTATTCCGGTCAGTTATTGTCTGTTTTCATGCCTGTTTCTGTAGCCAATAAAATATATTTACTTTTGCAAATTGCTTTACAGACAGACCTGGCTGGCAATTGCACTAGTTATGGATGCAATTTCCAACAACTTGCTGTGTGTTAATTGTTTCTCAGATTTGCTTAGCATATCCAGTTGACAAAGAAAGAAAAGACTTCCAATGAACCTGTTTCCTTTATACTACTGCAATAGTCATTTAATTCCTTTCGGCAAAACAGAGCAGAGAAAATTGAATTTGAAGTTCCCATAGCCTGATTTCAACAGAAAAGAAGCTTGTGTTCAGAATATTTTTGTTGGCACACGTACCACAGGTCCAGAAATGTAATATTAAAGCTTAAGCTCAGTAATACATCTGAAAGTAAAAAGTTTTGTTGCAAAGTCTGGCAGATAATACTGTATATTCCCACAATTCTCTATCACTTTTGTAAACTGATCTGTTTTTGCAGACTGGAGCACAAAAAATTATTTTACCCATAAAATGAAAGGGTCCATCTGGCAGTGGCATCCTCCTTTTTATAGTATCAAAACCAAAAGACTTCAAGCATCAGCTAACAAAAGTTCAAAAATAGAATAAATTACTTGAAAATTATTGGGGTTCTCAAAGCAGCATTTCAAATTATACTTAATGTTGTCTATACTGTGCATCATGTTGTTATTATTTCACTGTCTTTCATAGACACACCGAATTTCTGCATTCTTAACATAACATAGTAGAAATTCATTCAGGTCTGGAAAAGTCACATCTTCAACAAGAAGAGTTTTCTCACATTTACTCCACTTAGCAAAAACATGACCATTTGGAAACTTGCACTTTCATCACAGAGCTCTGTTTCCCCCAACTGAGGGGGATCTGGGTGGGGCTCTTTGTTTTGAAATTAAACTTGTATGAGTATGAGATGAAAACTGCCTGTAGCCCACATTCTTTTACATCCCAACTCACAAGAGCTGCAGCTATGTAGACGCTCTGACCTATTCATTCTCAAACTCATTTACATCTGCACTTTTGCCTGTCTTTCCTGTATATGACACATCAACATTGGGGACAAAATACTAACATGCTGGCTTACATATTGGACAGGTGCCATGGTGAAAAGATCATGATCATCTGGTCACATTGACTTGCTTGATTGGTATTGATATTCTCTTATGTATGAAAACAAAGCAAATACAAAAAAAAAAAAAAAAAAAACCACAGCCACTTCTTAAAAAATTAAAACTACACCCCCACTAGGGAGATTTGGGAACCCA